ATTTAAAAAGAAAAAAAAATGGAAAAGGGGGGGGGGGTCCAGACCCCAAGTGCCTGTGAGTGTGAGTACATTTGAAAGTGAAAGGTAAGTTTTAGACTTGTATTAAGAAATAGAGCATTGCTCTTATTCTTAATAGTTTTATAAGATTCGAAAGATCGTATGATACACTGTATCATTTAGGACACGTAATTATTTTTTTTTTTTTTTTTTTTGAAGATTCCAGGAAAATTTTTTCTCGTGAAAACTAGATGTTATGTCGTGAAAACGACTTATTATCTCGTGAAAACGACTTATTATTTCGTGAAAACGACATACGTTTTCAAGAGATAATAAGTCGTTTTCACGAAATAATGTTTTTTCACGAGATAATATGTCGTTCTCACGAGATAATAAGTCGTTTTAACGACATAATATCTCGTTTTCACAAGAGATTATGTAATTTTCACAAGTAAATATGTCATTTTCACGAGATAAACAGTTAGGGTTTGTATTATAATACAAATCTTATAATACAAATCTTACCGTGTGTACCGGCCTTTATTTAAAACATTTTTTCAAAGCACTTTTGTATTGGTTATTGTCATAATATGACACTGGTGACGGCGACCAAACCAAATGATGGGCCATGGGGTGCTTAGGAGTTTAACACATTTCTTTCAGAAAGAAGAATAGTTTTTCACTAAAAGAAATCCTTATTGAACCCTGTTCATATTTTATTTATCGTTGTGGCACTACATATGCGTTAAAAGGAGCTGAGCAACTTCATGACATTAAGCGATTCTGAGAGTGTTGTGAAGGATTTAACAGATAAAGATTGTAAGTGACCAGTTGGCAACTATCCCAGGAATGCGCTGTTTTCTTTTTGTTATGTCCCTTGGATATCGAAAGTGCTACATCTTTATGTAAATTGATTTGGAAATACAAAAAAAAAATGGGGGGGGGGGGTCGGAAACTACCATATAATGTGCTTCCATACCGGTAGTTTCACAATCAGTGACCGAGTGTATATTCTAAAGGATTTCGAGGATATTCCTACTTTTGAAGTTTCTTTGCTTGAATTGAATTACGAGATGTTGATTTCTATATAATTTGAATTGGCTTCTATATAGCTTGAATTGGATTACGAAATGTTTATTTCTATATAAAATGCATAATTTTTGTTTATCTATGGCCTAATTTATTCGTTGTGTAAAAGCTAGGTGAAGCCAGCCTTTGTTTCACACAACTCGGTATTATTTTAGAGTACAATATTAGATATAATACATGTGCTGTACCCCTGAAAATAATACTGGACTAGGCTGGTACATTCTTTGAAAAATGAGACTGTAGAAACAAAATAATGACGTCACAAAAATGTTTTAATAACTATCTCCAGTACATGGCCAAAAAAGTAGATATGCAATAAATTCTAACCTAAGTAATCGCCTAAAACTTCAATGAAATTCTAGCAGTCGAAAGGGAATGGAGTTCCCTTTCCAGATATATCCCCACCCATCGCAAACCCAATGTGCATCCAATACTGATAATTGTTTATGCTAACAATTAAATGTCTCATTTGTCTGAACAAATATTTAATTCGTTCGAACAAATAACTAATTTGTCCGAAGAAAATTCTACTTTCTCCGAACAACTATCTAATTCGTCCGAACGAATATCTAATTTGTCCGAACAAATTTCTAATATGTCCGAACTAATATCTGATTTATCCGAACAAATACGTAACTAATTTGTCCGAACAAATTTCTGAAAAATTTCCGAACAAATATCTAATTCGTCCGCACAAAGAAGAATATCTTATTTGTCTTAACGAATAAATACATGTATTTTTTTAATTAGTCCCTCCAGCAGCGCCGTAGCAAGGTTAGTCCGTTTGTATTCTTTGGTGTTCGACAGTTGCGAAATGTGCATTGCAGGTAAATCAAAATCATTGCAAACATGAAAGCCAGCGCATTTTCATTTTTTTTACCGGAAACAATTTTTAGTTCACCTGAGCTTTTCTGATCAAAATTTGTCCGTTGTCTGTCGTTGTCGTCGTAAACTCTTTACCTTATCTGAGCCAAAGGCTCGAGTGTGCTTTTCTGATCGAAATTTGCCCATTGCCTGTCGTTTTGGCGAACTTTTCACATTTTCATCTTCCTCTCCAGAACAACTGAGCTAATTTGAACCAAGCTTGGCAATGAATATCCTTGGATGAAGGGAAACCAATTTTGTTCAAATGAAAGGCCACAACCTCTTCCAAGGCCACACCCTCTTCCAAGGGGAGATATTTAAGAAAAAATGAAAATTGGGATCATTAAAAAAAATCCCTCTATTTAAGAACCACTGGACCAGAAAAGATAAAATTTCTGCCGTGAAAGCTTCCTCAGACAATGTAGATTCAAGTTTGTTCAAATCATGACCGCCAGGGGTAGGGTGGGGCCACTATGGGCGAATTAACTTTCACTTAGGAATGCATAGAAAAAATCTTAAAAATTCTTCTGCACAGCAAAGTCATTATCAGTCATATTTATATGGAAGTATCCTCAGGTTGTGTACATTAAAGTTAGTCAAATCATGACTCTCAGAGGTAGGGTGGGATCATGATAGCCTAGGCGATAAAAATTTTATAGGAATATGTAGGAAAATCTTCTTTAAGGGAACAGCAAAGCCATGATTAATCATATTAACATGGAAGCATCCTCGGGTAGTGTAGATTCAAGTGCTAAAATCAGAACCCTCAGGGGTAGGATGGGGCCACTATAAGATTATAAATTTACATAGGAATACGTAGTAAAAAATCTGTAGAAGTCTTCATTTCAAGAACAGCAAAGCCATGATTAATCATATAATATACCGAAGCATCTGCATCTTCATCAGTAGTGTAGATTCTAGTTTGTTCAAGTCAAGACACCCCCTCCTCTTTCCGAGGGGGGTTAGGATGGGGCCATAATGGGCAGCCAAAGTTTAACATAAGAATATAAAGGGAAAAATCTTTTTAAATTCCTTCTAGGGGACTGTAAACCATGATTAGTCATATTTATATTGAAGCATACCCAGGTACTGTAGATTCATTTTTGTTCAAATCATGACACCTGGGGTAGAGTGGACCTTATCTTAATTTTCAAAGGAAAATATTAGAGAAAAAAAAGGCTAATAAAGAAGGACCATAGTTACTCAGGAGATCGTTGTTGCCCATGGGCCTCTTGAAACAGTTTCATATTCTTCTCCAGAACCACTGGGTAGATTTCAACCAAACTTGGCACAGAGTACCCCTTAGGTGAAGGGGATTCAAATTGTTCAAATGAAGGCCACATCCTCTTCCAAGGGGAGATAATTAAGAGATAGTGAAAATTGGATGTTGTCATTTAAAAATAATCTTCTTAAGCACTCTCAACCATCGGCTCATACATTCACCTCTGTCGTTGGCTCGCGTATACCACAGTGATAACCACTAGAAATATCAAGTGAGCGTTGTGGCCCATGGGCCCGTGGCTAAAATTATAACAAAACATTTATTGACTTGATTCTTGGACAGAATGCGTTTAATCGAACCCTCGAACCAAATACTACCGTCGATCTAGCGGCATCAGGTAATTAGTTTGATTTTAGAATCCGACAAAACGCATGTTGCCCTTGTTTTATTTTGATTTTGCCCCTGCTTGAGCATCACTCCCATAATGAAACCCCTTAGTTTTTCCACAATTTAAATGCTATGAGGTGTTTATTCTGAAACCATTTTATTGGTAGGTTATCAATAAACAACTGCCACTGCCATCTGCTTACTATCACTTATCATTAATTAAATTAAAGCAACATTATTAATTAACAGACACACCCACGACCTTCCGACTGGTAATACTGGAAGAACAGCTTATTGTAATATTGAAAGAACTGTTTAATATCAGACTGTTACGGAAACAAATAAAGTTATACAGTGACCTCTCCAAAAAAAAAAGTAGCGGTATACTCTCCAAATAGTATTATATCATATGCCTAGTAGTGTACAACTATCAGCACTATTACAGCTGCTCTTGATTACTGAGACAGCTGTTTGTAGCATGGGGCTGTATTGCCCAAAGGTCGATCACTCCGCCTCGCCCTGTTACTAAAGGGGAGGGGGACTATCGCCCTAAGTTTTAACCATTATTTCTCTGTATTTTAATAACACAAGATATTGGAACATGGCACCTGATCCCACCTCTTTACTTTTAATACGACCCCTACCCCACCCCCGAGAATTACGGTCGTTTTTGCGTTCAGAGAAAACGAAGCGGAATTGTTCACTACCATTCTCATCGTACAAAAAATGGCAATTGATTTGTATTTCATGTACTCATTATACGGTTATGCTGAATCTTTACAACCAAATGTCAATCTTTTCAGACATTTATTATTATCAATCAAGTAATTTTCCTTGTTATATATTTGGAAACTTAAGAATTTTTTTTTTAGTTTTTCCATTTTTCGTTACTGGCGTATGTTATTTTTCACAGGTAAAACATGTCTCCATTCGATCCTGCAATTAAAAACTGATCACTTCACGCCATAACTATCAATTTTTATCCTCATTGATTGAATACCTGGAGCTATGAAAAAAATTTAATGCGAGGATGTGAATCAATTCAATAAATTCCAATTATCTACATTTCTTCATTAAAACTTCGGAAGGACAAACTGACATATCTACGCAAAATAAGTTGCGCGTAAATTCCTCTGTTTTGTACTTCTGAAAGTTTAACTCTCTGGTCGTCCATATCAGTCTAACTGATAAACAATAGTTTAAATTGCATCTAATCTCTGGAATCTTATCTTTGCAATAAGATTAAAAAATCTGTTCAGAAACTTCAAAAGGCGTATAATAGACCAAGCACTTTATAATGTGATAAACAATTCTGTTTGTACGGAAACCACAGTTAATATAAACAGATCATTCTCCAGCTTATATGACAGCTCAGTTATATATTGAGGTTTTTGACATACGAGTATACTCTTTTTCACCAAAAAACAACAAAAGATAAATAATAAATACAATAGCTTTAATGTCTATGTCACAAAACACAACAGAAACCAAAAAAATATAGTTCGGTGTTTCATTGTGCTATTATATCGAGTACACTCAAACCTAGATTAAAATGATAGACGCTGTACTCGAGGTTAAATAAATAAGACTTTAAGACAAAATGAACAATGTATATAAATAAACAAATTGCACGTTCACAGAAGTTCCATCCTAAGAACTATATAATTACTTTATTGTCCATTCTTCCCAATGATAAACGTAAAAATGTTAATTTTTTAAGATGGAGGCGCAATCAATTGCTAAAGCTACAGATTATTGCACAATTCCGGCACATTCATTTAATAGCTGTCATTAATATCAAAAGAGGGTGTGACAGAGCGATAAGAAGAAGATGCGCGCACACGTGGTGACAGAAGATTTGGGTTCGAACTTGGCCCCTGAAAAAAAAACAAATAAATAGCATGAAATAATATATCAGTAGTAGAAACTCGTTTCACGCACTGAATAAGTTGATGTGAAAACACATATCTTATAAAGTTATATTTTAAAACCATTCAACCGCCAACAAGCAATGTATACAATGACTTTGTTTTATAATTTCAAAACTGTTCTCACAACAAAGGAATAGAGGCACATGCTCAGATGTCAAACACAATTTTGTTTCACTCGATGTGTGTATAATAGCAATTTATTTTAAATCTTTCTTTTTTTTCGTAACAAAAGAGAAAAAAATTAACTTTAATGAGAATAACAACAATTAAAAAACCATGCTTTAGCATGAATATGTTATAAGCATGAAGATGAAGTAAAGTTATGAAAAGAAACGCCATGTTGTTGTGAGGCGGAAATGAACTCATGGAGGTCATAAAACAACCAACCAATCAACAGATGGAAAACTTACGATTACTCGACAGTCTGTCTGGTCTGTGAAGGAGGAGGATAAATTATATTTGGTAGGAATATTGTTTATAAAAAGCAAGAATTTTCATTGTTCTCTGAATGCATGCCTTGATTTTTTAAATAGGTGATTGTTTCTCATAAATTGAATAAACTTAACTGGGTTCTCGTTTCGGTGAATCTGAGGTTCACGTGTTAAGTTCATGGGTAATGTAAAACGGATATTTTTAATGTTGAAAACAGGAAGAATATTACTTTCTGTCATGACCAAAAGGATGACATTTTTAATTTTGTCATGCCAAACTTTAAAAGTGGAAACAGAATTGGTAGGTACTGCAATGAGAACCTATTTTTGCTTGACATGCTTTTTTTTTTAGACACCTGAAAGTTACAAGGTTGGAATGGTTTGGGTTTGGGATCACTAAAGGGTCAACCAACTAAAACTTACTCTAGTATGGAATTTATTCACCATTCTCCGTCAAAATTGTAGGATGAAAATAAATCAATTCATTATACACTGTTTCAATGCCCAATTATCATCATGAAAAGTCATCAAATACTAAATCTAAAACTAATCTAGTTCCACGCCAAATCCAAACGACATCAAACGAAATTATGTCTAGACACAAGGTTTCATACTCTATCGACTCCTACATTTCTAGCATTGTTACCTTACAAAAGAACCGATCATTTATTTAGGGGCAACAGATCCCCTATCGGTCCTGGCAACACTACCCCCTCTGCCGACTGGGGTCTGGAAAACGTTGTTTTATAAGAGGGCAAACATAATAAATACAACATTAAATAATAAATATTAATTTGTCATACTATATATGTTATCTATTCCTAATAATACTATAGTAATATAAATTAAATCGTTAATTTTATATAACAGTTAGATTTCAGAATGAGATTGACTTACCAGTGAAGACGAGGTGGCAGAGGTGCGTGTTACAGAAACAGAGCTCCTGTTCTTAGCGCGGAGTTTGGTCAGAGAACCCTCAGCTGTGTCGGCTCTCTCCTCGGCGTCCTCCAATTCATGCTGAACTTTACGGTATTTGGCAAGATTGATAGCAGCAATTTCTTCCTGTTAATTACAAATCAAATATGTATAACTGAATTATATTCTAGTTATAAAATGTTGGTATGTATACAAAGAGATATTCCACATTAAAATAAAATAAGACATAAGGATAATGAACGCAGAAATACGCACAGCTTCCTCGACTTGTCTTTTGTATGTTTTGATCTTGTTCTGCAGTTTGTCAATGAGTTCCTGAAGTCTTTCCTGGTTCTTACGGTCTTCATCAGCTTGGAAGGCAAGTTCCTTCATACGACGATCAGCCTTGCGCATGTTCTTCTGTGTTTCGGCATGTCTGCGTTGTTCACTGTCAAGCTCTCCTTCAAGTTCTCTTACCTATTAAAGTCACATATTAGCAAATTCATGTAAAAGTTATAATTAAACTATATGAAGTAATGATTGAATTTTTAGATTCTCTGTAACTAATGTCACTTACTCTCTGTTCAAGTTTAGCAATCATCTTCTTTCCTCCCTTCAGTGCTTGAGCCTCAGCTTCCTCAAGCCTGACCTGAAGTTCTTTAATTTGGCCTTCCAATCCCTTGCGGAATTTCTCGATCTGTTGGCTGTGCTCTTGTTCAGCACGAAGTTCATCAGTGAGACGAGCAGCATCAGCCACTGCTTTCTTTGCTCGCTCATCGGCAGCTTTAACTTCATTGTTCATTTCATCAAGATCGGTCTAAAAGTAAATCACAATGAATAAATCATTATATTTTTTAAAGTTTTCAAATTAAATTAAAGGCTACTTTATCGTCTGTATAACCAATTACACGCTTCACCAACTTACCTGCATAGCTTGGATATCGCTTTCAAGCTTCCTCTTCTGTCCCTGGAAAGAGGAAACTTGGGCGGAGAGCTCATTCACACGCTCGTTGGCCTCCGAGAGCTCGTTTTCAGCTGCCTTTCTAGCTCTCTCGGCTTGTTCGAGAGCTGTTCTCAGTTCCTCAACCTCTCCTTGAAGCATAAGGCAGCGACGCTCAGCCATGTTGTAGGATTCACGGGCCTCCTCTCTCTGGCGTTGTTCCTCCTCAAGTTGAGTCTGCATTTCCTGTTATAAAATAGGGTAATGTTTGTAGATTTAATATTACATATTCCTCAATGTTTCAAAATAGATTAACAGAAACATTTTTCTCACCTTGATTTGTTGTTGGTATTTCTTAATGTTCTTCTCCAAGTCGGCTTTGCCCCTGTTAGCAGCATCCAGAGCAATTTCAAGTTCATTGATGTCCTGTTCCAATTTCTTCTTGATTCTCATGTTCTCAGCTTTGCCCTTGGCCTCAGCTTCAAGACTTGCCTGCATGGAGTCCATGGCACGCTGGTGGTTGCGACTGAAAAATAAAGTCGACATTCAAATTCGTAAATCAAACATTGTTGCAAATTTTCTTTCTCTATCTGTAAATCAAAGATAACCTACCGTGTATTTTCGAATTCTTCTTCCTTTTCTTGAAGCCTACGGTCAATTTCAGCACGGACGGTGGAAATCTCAAGTTGAGACCTCATGACTTTAGCCTCCTCTTGTTCAAGTGCAGCCTCTGCTTCTTCCAAGGCGGCCTGAAGTTCTTCCTTTTCCATTTCAAGACGGCGCTTAGCCTTTTCAACTTCATGGACGCTTCTGCCTCCCTCAGAGAGTTGATCTGTCAGTTCATGGATCTCATCTACGAACAAAATATGTTCAATTAATATCAAAATTATGCCTTAACTGTCATTATTAAACAATTGAAGACTTAATGTTTTGTTCACAGTGATCACCTTACCAGCAAGGTTCTTGTTTTCTCTTCTCAACTGTTCAATGGAGTCCTGGCTTTCTTCATACTGAGCCTTGACACGGAACAGTTCAGCAGAGTATCCACGGGCCTCCTTCTGGGCATTTTCCAGTTCCATCTGGAGATCATTCACCTTCTGCTGCCATTCCTGGATAGTCTTGTCGAAAGCGCGTTGCTTCTTTTCTAGGGCGTTGGCATTGGCGTTGGCTCTTTCAACGTCAATCATCAAATCTTCCATCTCACCCTGAAGTCTTGCTTTGGCCTTCTCCAGTGCACTGACTTTAGCGTTAGCTGCCTCTGCATTTTGTTCGGCTTCTTGAAGTTTGGCCATGAGCTTTCTCCTGATGAATATGAATACAAATTTTAGCAATAAGTTGATTTTTTCCATCAAGTTGGTATATATTTCAGATAATTTTTTAACACTATCGCTTGAATATTTATATGATTAGTACGTACTTTGCCTCCTCAAGTTCTTCAGCACGAGCTGTTCCCTCTCCTTCGAACTTTGCTCTCCACTGCTGCACCTCGCTGTTGGCTTTGGACAATTGGCGCTGAATATCAGCCTTAGATTCTTGCTCCTCTTCAAGCTGTTCACGAAGAGTATCAATGTCTGCATTTAGATTTCTGAGGTCGCTCTGCAATTTCTGTCTAGCTCTAGTTTCTTCTTCCAGAGAACGCCTGACTTCCTCCAACTGGCTTGCCAGGGCTGCTTTTTCTTTAGTGAGAGTACCAATACGGTGTTCAGCATCTTCAAGCTGAGCGTGGACGTCTGAAGACTCCTGGCCCAACCTAGATTTTTGGTTGCCGAGATCCTGAATCTGTCTGTTGGCTTCCTCGATCTTTGCGTTGGCCTCAGCGAGTTGGCTTTCAAGTTGTTTAGTAACTTTATCGACAGATCCCTAAATCAGCAAATTGCATTTGAGAATGGAATTTACGAATCGATGTGACAGAAATATAATAAATTATTATCATTTACAAAACTACACTGATTATCATAAAAAAGATAAATTTTTAATTGTTGGTACTACATAATTAGATTTGAAAGAAAACTCTGGTATTGTGCAAGATCATTTAATCTTTAAGAAATGAAACATTAAATGGATATACGAAAGTCAGACAATTATACGTTGTGTGAATAATACATATATAAATACAAGTAATATATTTAGCATAATTGTTTCTGCATTTTCTGCGGTGAACTGAAATAAGCAAATTAATATCATATATAACATGCAAAAATCTTGAGTGCTAGTGAAGGAAGTGAATAAAAAATAAGGATTATAGTCAGCAATCGCCATTATACCCGCTCCTTTTCAGCTAGCTCCAAGGAAATGAACAGGTCTTCGCACTCCTCCAATAGCTCCCGTCTTTCTCGGTCAATTCTGAACATGCATTACCAAGGCAAGCGTTAGTAAATGTTTTAATTTGCAGCATTTTCAATTAAGAAAAGATCGGAAATTTTTTTTAGCCTGAGCGATACCTTTAGTCCTGTATTTCAAGTTTTATATGAAGCCAGAAGGAATATATCTCAAACTATTTAAGTCTGGAAACAGCAGACATTTATCTACCTTTTCTTGTTCAAAGCTTTGACAACAAACTTATAATATTATTCAACCAACCTTGACTAAATAAGACAAGTTTTATTTTAAAAATGCTTTTTTACATAATGCGTTTATCGCATTTCAACCAAAATATGCAGACAATGCTTTCTGTCGATTTATATTTTATTTCTGAACGAAAGCCAAACGTTTCAGCCAAACAGCAAAACCAGCTGAATTCCTCTTGTACCTTATTTTTCACGATATTTTGAATCTGAGCCTGGAGGTCCTCAACTTCACTCTTCAACTGGGTCTTTTCTTTCTCAGCTCTAAGAGGTATACATCAAGATAGAAAACAAAAGGAATAACAAGGTAGAAGGATAGGACAACAAAAGGGTAGAGAAACAAAGGGAGTGAAGAGAAGCACTAATCTATCGAGTAGTACTAAGGTCACTACGGAGAGCATGCGCCACCGGAAACCTAGGTACCTTTTGTTTTGTTACGTGTTGTAACTGTGCTTGCAGATCTTCACATTCTCTATGGAGATCCTTTTTCTCCTTTTCGTATCTGTAATGCCCGTTTTTAAATTTATCTTTTGAAAGACTACTCAACTTTTGAGTAAAAGAGAAACCATTCAGCTCCCCATTGCTACTTATGATCTTTTATATCAACAGTCAAACTACAAATCGATAATGATGGCGTTGGGATTTACAGATGATGATGATTGTAAGTTATCTTACATATTCTTATAAACCATTTCGCTCACATTAAAAAATTAATTGCTATGACAATATATAGTAATTGTTTAAAGTTTAGTAATTTACTTATATTTTAAGATGTCCAAGTCAGTAGAAATTGCTTAGTGTCCAGTCATTTATTTTCGATTCAAATGCCTGTCAGTAATTTTAGTTCAATGTCCAAATTTACTTCCAAATTTACTAGTACTTATTAAATTGTCCATATCAGTAGTAATGGCCTGATGTCATGGCATACAACTGTAACAGTTTAATATCCATGTCAGCAGTGGTTCCTTGGTACCAAGTCATCAACAATTACGTGTCAGTCAGCGGTTATTCTTTGGTATCCATTTTCGACATTTAAATGTCCATGACAGCAGTAAAAGGTAAATGTCTGATCTTTAATCAAAGGCATCCAAATTCATTTATCAGAATTAAAGTAAATACTATCCATTCGTGTAACTACTTCCAAATGTCCATGTTGGTAGTGATTGCTCAAAGTAAAATCATTATCAATTTAATGTAGAAACAATGAATCACCTTGACTTCGCTTTCTGGAGTTGGTCAATTTGGTCAGCCATTTCATTAGCGGTATCGGTTTGCTTCTTGCGGAGACTGGACACCTGTGCTTCATGTTGAAGGGTCTGTTCTTCCAAGTCACGACGAAGCTTCAACAGTTCCTGTTCTCTCTTTTTGTTCAACTCAATCTGCACAAGGTAAACAAAGAAAAAAATTCAGATATTTGAAAAATGCAAACTAATTGAGAAACCTCATTAGCGATTTGTTCAATGATAATTAATGTAAAATTGTTAACCTGTGCGGAGGTGGCACCACCAGCCTCGTCCAAACGTTCGCTAAGATCTTCCAGTTCTCTGGCAAGTTCAGCTCTTTGTTTATCAACCTAAAGAGAGATTTTTTTTTAAATTCATTTGTAATTATAGTTATAACTACAAAAGAAAAAGAAATTCAGCAACAATATCCTTTAATTATCTAACAAAGATTTTCTTAGCAATTGGGTACGTCATCGATAATTATCATTATCATATAAATTATCAGCGATGTTTCTTACCTTAGCTCTAGCAGCTCGTTCCGCTTCAAGTTCTTCTTCCAGTTCTTCAATTCTAGCCTGTAATTCGCGAACAGACATAATGAATCACAGTGTTTAATCCAATAACACAAGAAAATTTTCAAACTCCAGAAGAACCTGAAATAATCTAAACACAAACTATCTACAATAAAAAGCAACGAAAGTTTTCTGAATAAAAAGAGAGAACAAAGCGATGTAAACTCCTCGGAGATGTTCTAGACTAATTCTGTCGGATTATCAGTAGCTATTTGAAATACTTGAAGAACTGTTAGTGAGTGCATTTTCAAAGCATGACTCATTAAGTTTGGCGAGCGCTGTGTAGTTTTGCTTTACAAATTTGTGTATCTGACGCACATGCATGATCTGATAAGTGTTGGAGTGAATGTGAAAGATGTCAAATAGAATTTCCATCAGTCAAGATTGCCACCATTCAGCATAATTCTGAGGCATCAACAAATTGCGACTACTTGTGTAGAGAATGAAACAGTAAATGCTGACATGCAAAAGCTTGAAGTATCTATGCCTATACGATTTTCTTTGATTTTGTACATGCACGTGTTCAAGTGACAGTTACATGGTCAGTAATGCCTCAGTATCTTCATCATACCTCGGCTTACATGAAAACAGAATTGTTTTTTGGTGGTCTGGAATGTTCTACAGAAACTTTGTGGACTATACGTTCGTAATAGTTTGTGTACTTCCCATATGAACAAGAGAATGAATGTACGCTAAATAATGAGCAATAATTCCAAAAAGAATTTATAAATAAATTTGTATCTTTAAAATCTCATTTTCATATAGACTAAAGCTTGATTTGTGCCATACTGTTGGATCACTTTTGTCTTGAAGAATTTAACAAAAGGACCCCCTTGTCAATTTATTTTTTTATTGGCAATATCCTTTAGAATCTCTTTTTCCAGATACATTAACAAAAGAATTTGCACTTGCATTAGACACATACTTATTGCTAACTATACATATAGTTCATTATTTACCTGCAGAGAGATACAACATCCTTTTCACAAAGCAGCATATAAAGCAGATGGTAGACATTCATCTGCCATGCCACAACACACATAGCCAGAACACAAATAAGCAATGAATGTGAAGCCAACGAGTTGTAAAATCTGTATACTCTACTTCAAGCAAATTTTTCAGTCCTGGCGAGAACATAGCCAGGTCGGATGTTTCCCTGATAATTTTCTTGCTTTTTGCACTGAGTCGAGGATTCACAGGTTCGTAGGCTCTGCTAAATAATGCTGGATGGTGAGCTATTCCTTCTAAGACAGCAGGACTTGTTCCTCGATAGTTACGCGAAAGTTCGCTGTATATATCGTCCGCCTGATACTGGACTGTCCTCTTCGAGCTGGATGCAGTTCTCCTTGGCGTTGCTGTCTCAGTCGTAATTGTCTGTACTTTCCTCGGTGTTGTAGTTTCTGTTGTAATTGTCTCCACTTTCTTTGGCGCTGTGCTCGTTGTCGTTTTCGTCGATGTTGTCTTTACCTGTGATGTATCAGTTGTTTCCTTAGTCTTTTGGGGTTCAGTTTTTGCTTTGGTTGTTGTGCTTTTTACTGAAGTGACCGTTGCTGCTACAGGGGCTGGGGTGGAAACCTCCTCTGCTCTTTGTGTTTCTGATACATCCACACTCGTAGTAATCTTGAATGGTGGTTGTTCGGCCATTGTGATGAAGTCCGAAAGTAAAACTAAGTTGCAAGAAGAAACACGTGACACAAGGAAGTTAAGCCTCCACTACCTAGAGTCAAGATGGCTGACTGAGCCCTTCACCTCCTTCCGAAGACAAGATCCTGTACCAGAGAAGTACCGAATCTACCAAGACTCAATGATGTTTGCGCAGACAAGGAGGCGTAAGAACTGAATCACTCTCACAGCAGCCGGCCTTTAAAGGGATCATCTGTTATTGTCTCTCACTAATCAGTGGTGTTATCTTCTGGAACTATGCCAACGACACAAGCGACTGTGATCGAATACAGGAGAATACCCCTCTCAATGCCTACTCCAACGGCTTGCAAAGGACTGATGTCGACAAGGTATAGGATAAGCTTTTATACAGAGGAGCAAATGTCAAAGACATTAGTGTATGTTAGAAACGTTAGTGTTTTATAGAGTGACCTGGCTTCCAGCAAATTTATGTGGTTTGTAACATACCGTACATCATTTACAACCGATTCAGAGTCTGAGACCCTAGAAAACATGCTTTCATGTATCTCTCTGATGTACAATCAACTACTTAACACATTGCAGGAAACAAAACATAGGATACGTAGATAGTTATAGATATATCAATTTACTAAGTTGCTAAAAATATGATTGGCTGCTACCTTTATCATTACCTTTTTCCGCAAGCTTGTTATGTAACATGTCATAATGATTTCCGCATGCCAAAAATTCTTGGAACGCTGACAATTTTTGTACTTTCTGCAGAGTCAACAAATGTTACGTGCAATTTTCATGATGTAAGACCGCATTGTTTTCTGTCTGTTAATATGTTCTTTATGTTTTTAAAAGAAATGGGGTTTCCATTTTCAAATCAAAAATATTTCAATGATGGTTTTATTTGTGGTTTTATTGATCGCTTTGTCGAAATATAAATATATATATATTTGATAAAAGTTTTTAGCGAATTTGTCATTTCATTTGGAAACTACTACGCCACAGTTTGCTAAAATATTGTAGAAGACTATTTGCGATGAAGAAAACATTTATTTTTCATGGGAATTTTTTTTCATCATTTTTACAATGTAAAGAAATCTACATTTCGTAAAAAATCTTCTTTTGACAATTCTACTGAATACTTTTCAACTCCTTTTCTCTTGACAATGAAAATGTACATGTTTAAGTCTAAATTGAAAGATTTCAATTATTTTCTGCATATGTGCCAATATCTCTTATTCCAAAACCTTCTAAAAGCAGCTACAACTACAAAATCTATCATCATTATTGCAAGAAAGGATATTTTGGTGTTTAATGGTGTTGCTTTACCATCACAGTGTTTCTGTACTTTTTTAAAAGAAAAAAAACCCCTAAAATCAAGGTGTTCCTGGTCTCTCAGACTAACCTGCAGCTCCTTGATTTTTCTTTGCAGAGATGCAACAAGTCCTGATTCATCTTCAAGGCGAGCATTAAGGTTAGCAACTTCAGCATCCTTCCTAAAATGGTTAATTTGATATACTGAGTACAACTAATCTATCAAATTATGACTCACCTTTGTAAAGAAACCAATAATAATTCATATTACAATACATTATACAGTATATCAGATGCTATGTTTCACATTGTTGGAACCGAAACAAATATATTAATTTTAATTACTTTCTGTTGGCCTCTTCCAATTCGCGTTTGATGCGTTCGAGATCCTCAACAGCACCTTGGGTAGATTTCAGATCTTGCTCAAGTTTTCTCTTAGCTTTCTCAACGTCGTTCCTGACCTTCTTCTCCCTCTCAAGATTATCCTCCAGCTAAAGACAGTTATAAAACAAATATTCAGTCATGCATGTCTGAGAATTCTCTTTAGAAAGAATCGTTGTGCACAGTGCAAAAACGTACCTCATCAAGAGTTGATTCCAGTTTCTGTTTAAGTTTGTTTAGGTGGTTGACTTTGTCCTCCTCAGCTTGGAGTTTCTCACTGAGTTGTTTGGTGCCCTCATCCATGCTCTTCTTTTCTCTGTTAAGGCGAGCGATGAGGTCGTCTTGTGCTGCCATCTCATCCTGCAGAGTCTTGATCTGGTTGTCTCTTGTTGCCTTTTCTTGTTCAGCCTAAAGCAGAATCATGAATGTGGCTTATTAATTTTACTTTTCGAATACTTTTAATCACTTTATTTTCACACACAAAAATATTTTCACGTGATTTCTCCAGATGGTCTGCTCGCGAAAATATTATTCTCGAGTTCATTTTTGTTATTGTAGGTTATATAAAGCAATAAACAGAATTCATGAAAATTTTGTCCTGCTTGTAAATACCTAATTTACACAGATACGCTTTTACAATGAAAACACAATTTACAGACGGGTTTTAAAAATATCCTACTTTAGCTAAAGAGTTTTCCAAATCCTCAATGTCCTTCTTCAATTCGTCATTCTCTGACTCCATTTTCCTTTTCAAATTTTCCAATTCTGCTGCAGCATCTTCTTCATCCAGGAGTCTTTCTTCCATCTCTTTCAGTTGACTTTCAAGATCACCTTTCTGGTTCACAAGTTTCTCAATTCTATCCTCAGCATCTACTAAACTGTCTTGTTCAGTTTGGAGCTGAAGATAAATGTCATTTTTCTGTTCCAGAAGAGTAACATTTTGTTCCTCCAACTCTTTCTTGATACGGTTGACCTTTTCGAGTTCTTCCTTCATTTTTTCCATTTCCTCCAGTTTTTTCTTCATTTCCTCTTCAGCCCGAGCAATGTTCAACAACGGCTTGACCTACAGTATGAGGTGTTATGTATTATGTATTCATATCACATGAATATTTCAATCTCTTAATCTAAGTGACACTTTGTTCCATTATTTCTCTAAATATAACTCACTTTGCAATACAGTCTCCACCATTGCCAGTTGCGGAGCATCAACCACTTTCTGATATTCCTCTGAATGATGGAAAGTCCAACTCTGGTAATAAAAAAATTAGTGTAATTATACAATAGACTAACCCCCTGTTCCTTCTTAAGCACTCTATAAATTTCAAATTTTATCAAATGTATTACTGAATCACAGACATGAATATGGATATACCTCTGATCCTGGAGCTTCTTGTATTGTTTGCGAACAAGGTATCCACGGATATGAGCTTGGAACATGGAAATGATTTTTCCAAGACGTTCGTCTCTCATTTCTTCCAACATACCAAGCACACCAGCCTTGAAGAAGACCTTGGTGTTACCCAGTCTGTACTCTGCAGGGTCCAGTTGGAGAGCTAGCAAAATCTTTTCAGTTACGACCTTACCATCAGCAAATCCTTGTGGGATAGCATTCGGGGCCAGGATGGAATATCTAGAAGTATTAAAAGATCTTGATAAGCAGTAGTAAAGATTCAGTTATTCCTTTATGTATATGTAAGGGTATAATTATTTCTAAATAGAAAGAAATGTATGACAAAAATACATAATTCGTAATGTCATCGAGTTGTAAAGCTGTCAGAAGTTAAGGTTCCTCTTTTCACTGATGAAAAATGTGATTTGGACAATCAGAATATTTTTAACTAGAGGTGTAAACATTAACTTTTTCTATTTTATTTTCAACTAAGGGTATATTACGGTCATTTACCAATGGGAAAAATGTTCTCAGAGTTAAAGAGAAATCACTATTGCTTCAATGGGGAAATACTTGAAAATAAAGTATTTGATTAATAATCTTGGCCTAATTGATATAAAGAATGCTAAAATTAATTACCCATTGAGGATTACATGTACACTACGGATTTCAAATTATTTCATTTAAGTTCTAAAGGCAGATCACCCTAACTGCGTAAATGTACTTAACAGAATTAGAAGTCTCTAGTATGAAGTATATAAAGGGTCTTAATGTGCGTTAACAACTGCTCACCTCTGTTTAAACTCAGAGTAGATAACTCTGCTAGGAAATCCCTTTCTGCAAATACGGATGCCTTCAAGCACACCATTACATTGCAGTTGGTTGAGAACCAATCCAGCATCAATGACACCTACAGATGGAAATTTCCTTATTAAAATTTTTTTCAAAACGAATTCTGAACTGACGAACTTTTCTTGTGAAATCTATTATTTACCTGGTTGTTTGAATTCGTTGGGAATGATACAGCGGACAAAGTGAGGATGTGTGCTGTACAGATTCTTCATCAGTTTGTTCAGAGATTCCTGAAAAAAGATTATGGACATAAGAAAAATCCGTTGCCATATGATTACTTGACTCTCGTCTCGACTCTTTTCTATAAAGAAGAATAATGAAGGAAGGAAATGAGTAATGATAGTCACCCTGTGGAGAGCGGAAATAGTCTGGAAGGAAGCGGACTTCTTCTTTTTCTTGGTTCCTCCAGATTCAGCTGTGGAAGAACAAGTCTTAATGAAAACATGGAGAAAACAAAATTCTTCAATGACCAGGAAAGCATTCCAATAACATTATCATTCCATTCTGATTTATACACCGAGAAGGGACATATTTAACACTATTGAAAAACGATAAAACAAACAATACATATAACACAATCCAGATAAGGACATCACACATCACATTACACGATATGACAAATATTCAAATCAATGTACAATCAAAACAACCAAGTGGAATCTCATATGATCTACATAATTCTGCCTGAGCTCAATATTTTCTAAAATGTTTAGATTTCAGTTTCAACTTTAAAAAGTTAAATTTGTTTATTTACTTCTGCAAAAAAATTAAAAGAGCGTTTCCTAATAGACTTATATTTATCTACAAACGCAAGGCAGCGATGCTTGCATTCTTACCCTCTAGAGAGGCCATGAATTTTTCTATATTTCACTATCAAAAGCAATAAGTTTGAACCAGCTTGTAATATTGATACTACTCTACAATGATAGCAGCTAACGACACTACTGATCCAGATATACCACTGGTACTTACATTTGTATCTTACATCCTCTGTAAGTTATGTGAAATAATATTGAAAAAAGGGAATCAACACAAATACGGATATTCAGGATGATGGCATTATTTTGTTAGATAGAAAATATTTATTCATTGCTCTCTGCAAAAAGGGATATTAAATATGGATTAGTGAACATCAAATCTATTCTAGATAAAAAGATCGTTTTAACGTTTGTAAGTAATGTGAGGTTTCATTTTTCAAATATAACGTAAAGATATACAAAATATGTTTTAACCTGGATCAGAAGGAGCAGCAAAGAGGGTCTGCACCAGATGTTCCTTAGAGTGACTGAGCAGCTCTACCACAGTCTCGTTGATTGGATCTTTGTTCTTTTCTAGCCAACCAGTAATGTTGTATGGTACCTAAGTAAACAAAAATTTTGCAGCATTAGGTTATTTCCTAGGGAATTCCGTTGTATGTTTTCTATCAACAACTGTGAGTTGCAATAAGATTCAGATTTGATACTTACACTTCCAGCGTAGTGATGAAGTTCGAAGTGAGGAGCAGGAAGACCAGGTTTTGCAGATTTTCCAGGTTTTCCGAAGTTGGGAGACTTGCCCATGTGGTTTGCGTACAGCTTCTCCTTGAAGGTGTTGTCGTTTGCTTTTGGGAACATACACTCTTCCTCCAGAATGGACAAAATGCCCATAGGCTGTAAACATATCGTGCATATTCTTAGAGTGACGTTACACTGAGGCAATAAGTACCGACTAAAATGTACAATTTGAACCTACAAGCCACTGAATATATAAAATTGTGAACCTTTTCAATAAGATCAATACAGGCTTGTAGATCCATTCCAAAGTCGATAAATTCCCATTGAATTCCCTCTTTCTTGTATTCCTCTTGTTCCAGAATGAACATGTGATGGTTAAAGAATTGTTGAAGCCTTTCATTTGTGTAGTTGATACACAGTTGTTCAAAACTGTTAAACTGCAAAATTGAAATGAACCATAATATTTAATGGTGTCAAATACTACAGTTATTCAAATATATATATAATATCATCAGTATAAATATAGTCATTTGTTTTCTGGTAAACAGCTTACGTCGAAGATTTCGAAACCAGCAATATCCAAGACACCGATATAGTAGTTTCTTTTGGCTTTGGTATCGAGGGTCTTGTTGACACGTGAGACAAGCCACTTGAACATACGGTCGTAAAGAGATTTGGCCAGAGCGCCAACAGAGTAGATCACCTATCAAAGAAAAATTCCAGAAATGAAAGTAGCAGAAGTCTGCCGTTATGAAACTGTATATGAATTGTGAAATAAAGAGAGACACCTACCTGATCTTTGTTTCTACCCTGTGTGACGATTTCGGTTCCGACCTTAATCTTGGGTTTCAGGAGAGCTTTCAGCAAATCTCCAGCATTGACACCCAGCAGAAAAGCAACCTTTTCAGCCTCTGTATGTATACAGTGGCAATTTGTACATATAATTAAATTTAACAGAAAAATAATTTTTCCTTGATATGATGGTAAATATGTTTCTGGGAGTGGAAGGTCACTTACCGGCAGTACCATCTGCTTCAGCCTGCTCCTCACGAGGTCTCTGTTTGAATTTCATCTCTCCCATGTGGAGGATAGCACCTGTACATTTATACATACTGTTCTTTTCTTCATACGTAAATCCAAGAATATCAAAAGCTTCCTATAAAAAAGAAATGACAGATCAATGTGATGGATTATTTCACTGTAACAGAAATAAAATTCAAATCTGTTCTTTTACTGCTTTTTTTCAACAACAGTATTGAAAACATACATCAGTTATTCGCATTTCTTCAATGTCGTCAATTCCATCGACGGTGAGGGCTCCTTGGTTGATAAAGGAGTAGAGGGCAGGGTCAGAGTCGCACAACAATCTCTCTGTTAAAATTGTAGAAATTACCGTTACATGACAATAACATCGAAAACAAGTCTTGTGGTCATATTATTCCTGTTCTATGTAGTTTTGACATAAAAAAGAATTCTTCAAGAAATAATTAAGAAACTCTGAATTAGTAGCGTAAAGCAGATTAATTAGAATTCGTTCATAAGAAGTAAAAGGCACCTTTGACGTCCTTCAGTCCCCCAGACAACAGCTGGTAGAAGATATGGTAATCTCTCTCAGCTGGTTGTTGGAATGTCACACGGGATTTCTCAAGCAGATCTATTCAAATGAAAAGAACAAAAACATGCCTTAAAGAAAACAAATATGCTATATTTAACCAGATAGTATAAAGAGTTGTCTATATTACTTTATATAAGAACTACAGGTAGAACACCAAATTATCCTTCTTCTACTCATAGTTTCTCTTTCAGATATGTATATTCGAAATATTCATTTTCGAATTGTATCTCTTAAATGTTTTTTTCGTGTTAATTATGGGATAAACTCAAACGGGGAAACCCAGGGTCTAGGGATAGACCTACCTCATAGTCGGGTGAAGGATGGCGTGTAAAGGAAAGTCACATTTTATTAATAGTCCTTTGAATTGTTTTTTATGGTATAGGAGCATGCAATTTACCAGGAAAAGTTTTTCTTTGGGTAATAGGAGTGGTTTCAAGATCAATCTGCAATAGGGATCAGTTTAATCGACTTGTTTTGATGAGGATTTGAAGAGAGTAACACACGAAAACGAGACGGGTGTGTAACGGAGGACGTTGTTAGAAGATTCAAACTATGTTTTTTTCTGCTAATTCAGATAAAATTTACAAAATATTAAAAGGCAAAGGTAAGGAGGAAATTGAAAATGCTGTAAACATGATGAGATATGGATAAAAAATATTTTCTGACAAGGGTTTGGTGTGAATGGTTATAAGGAGGTAGAAAACAATAACCATTTTCTTATGAAGTTTCAAAACCATAGGACTGAAGATCGCTGAAAATATAATTCACATGTAAATCAAACTGATTTTGATGAAATCAGAATTAAAATATACGTTAAAAAAATTTCCTAAAAACAATAATCTCTTAAAATATTTATTGAAATAAGAAAATACGTACATGTTTCAATATCTGCTCCAGCGATTTTTCCAGTAGGCCCGAAGTGAATTCGGATAAATTTTCCCTACAAAATTGTGGAGTAAATCTCAGCAAGAAGTGGGAGCATTGGTTAATTCGATTTTTAAAATTAAAAATTTCATATTGAAAAATTTCAAACCTTTTTTTGACAATTACTGACATGAAGTGATACACATAATTTTTTTTATTCGTGTTATTGCACTGTCAGATTTTAGAGAATTGCAGGTGATTTAGGTAAAGTATGGACGTGGAAAATGATACATGAAAAGGTGTAGAATTATATAACAAGTTGGGAATAAACTAATATGGTATGTTTCTAAGATAAAAACATGTTAAATGTCTAGAGGCAAAGTCACACGTATGAAAATTGAATTTGAAAAGTTCAAACAGGAATGGAAAATTCATGCTAATTGGAAATGGGAAAGTCAAAAAGAATAGATTTACCTCTCCATTTTGTTTTGAAAATACATCTAGAAATCTTGCAAATACTGTATTGATAAAAATTATACAAATTACAAATACATGCATACAAGGTTATCTTGTATCCATATATTGTTTTTATTTTTGGAGACGTTGTTGGTTGTTACTTACGAATCGAGAGGAATTGTTGTTTCGAACCGTCTTGGCATTACCAAAAGCTTCTAAAACAGGGTTAGCCTGAATGATCTGGTCTTCCAGATTTCCCTGTGCACCGGGGATATAAAAGGAAGGTTATCACACAGTGTTATCAACTAATTAACTGATAGGTGGTTAACTGATGAAAAGTTATCCTCCAAACCTATACACATCTTCGACTTGATCAACTACATTCGTGTGATTTATAAAGTTTTTTTCAAATGATAAGTTTGGATTGAACGAATTTTATTGTATAATAATAATTTCATAAATTTTACAGAAAAAGATGATTAGGGAATAACTGCTTTTAACTAACTTGTTTCTCTCTCACACACAAATGATCGCCGAAATATGGCTGAAATATTGCCGACTCGGCGTTAAACAATAATAATCAATTAATCTCACATAAATGATTCCTTTAATCATTTAATTAGTCATAATAAATTTGTAAAGTTGAAGAAGTGTATAGAAATGACAGATAACTAGACATAAAGGTAAAGAAACAAAACACTGGATCTGGGTTGATGGAGGTCTGCGTCCGGTGGTGGAGATCAAAAACTGAAACAAAACACGCGCAAGCAGTGCAAAGGTAGGGTCCAACCAGGGAAGGAGGAGAAACCACTATTTTATTTACTTACAAATCGAGAGGAGTTGTTGTTTCTAGTGGTTTTGGCATTACCATACGCCTCAAGTACAGGATTAGCCTGTACAATCTGGTCCTCAAGCGTAGTTGGCTGTTTGTGGGAATGTTAAGGGATAGGGGATGGATGGGTATTGGAGGAGGGGGAAAAAGAAGAAAAATATGTTATATGCTTGTCCACATAATTAACTATTAAATATGAGCTCATAAAAACAGCAAATGTTTAACACACTTCAGCATAAATAAAATTATATACGTAATCTTCAAATTTTCTTTCATGACTTCTCAAATACTTTAAATATCCCTGTCAACATATTTAATGAAAAATCTAAGCTAGTTCAAAATGTGAGTTGGTTACTAGGTTAAGTTCAAAGGTTAGTGACGATTCCGTTGTGGAGGGTGGGTTTCAATATACACAGCAAACAGGAGTCACATCAAGGGTCGCCCTGTCTTTTTGATCACATGATGTCACGGGAGACTTGCCAAAACCTGGGAGTTTGCACACCATGCAAGGAAACTAAGAATTCTCATTTATGACGTCACAAAGTGAAAAGTGAAAAGAATGGACAAAAAGGAAAGGGTGGATAGAGTGAGAGGTAAACTGCAAAGTGGTCTTCAGAGGACTGAAACAAAACTACCTATTCACTAATGTTACGCTTCGCAATTGTGATGAAAACATTTCAAAAGGACGTTCAAATCTTTTTCATAATGCAATTTTGGACATCCATTTGAAATCTGTTAAATAGGATCCAAACGCATGCCATTAGACTGTGGTCTGAACTTGTTTAGGGAGGCAAGTCTCCGAATTTCGGTTTTAAAATATTTTCTATGTTAAGAAAAGTTCTTAAATTAACAGAAATATATTTGTGACATCATGTTCTCATTGAAAGAGGTGTCTCCCGTACAACCTTCTTCGAATCTTTCTTCTCCTCGCCGCCATCCTTCTTTTGTAAACTTGCAGCAACATGGGCAAAGTACTGGATGACCTTTTTCGTATTTTCAGTTTTACCAGCTCCAGATTCTCCTCTGTATCAAAATATTTAACAAAATCTATTGATTTTTTTTTAAATAATACAACAAAGAAAGCTAGCTGTGTGTGGACATGCGTTACCAAACTCCAATGTCGGAGTCCATAACCATCCACTACAACTGAAAGTGAAGGAACCCAAATCATCAAGTTTTCAAAGGTTCTTATCATTTCACTGAAGATTGTTCCTCACTGGCTAATTTTACCAGGAGAAACACTTCTCCATTTAAATGTGCGGCGATTCCTTTGAGAACTCTTGTCAAGATTCCTCACTTAGCATACTAACTAATACCCTTAACACTTACAACATACGGGCCACCATCGTGTCCCCGCTTTTGAGATTCGCGGTAGATATTAGCTGCCACTCGAGCAAAGTACTGAATTACTTTCTTGGTACTTTCCGTCTTCCCTGCTCCAGATTCACCTCTATGTTCAAAAATAAACAATCAGCGCAATATTTTATATGTACATAGATACCTGGGGGTTATTTCCGAGTGGGATGTTTTAAAGGACATATTGGTCAATTTGAAACCTTTCAAAACCCAAAATTGTGCAGATAACAAATTTACGCATCAATAGCGTTAAAATATAACTTATGACAAACGCTTTATTAAGTATACTGTGTGATTACCCGGTATACATGTGTACTTTAATACCTGCTTGATTTTAGGGAGGAAACCCTCAACACTTGTAATGCAAAATATACAACAGAAAGTTAAATTTATCTATTTCACTGGGATGATCCTTGCTAAACTTGTGTTTGTATGTTAATGTAAATTTTTTTCAAAAGTGAATTATAAGTTGTAAAAATGGTAAATTCTTGATTTTGTGTTTTAATGACGTGATAAAATAAGTTTCTTTCACATCTGTTTTTCTTATCACTACAGGGAAACAGCTTGTTACCATTGACCGCAATTACAAACGGAACATTTCCTTAATCACAATTTATAGATGGCAGATGTTAACTCTTCTTTCTTTAACTTATAATAAGAAGAAGTGATATTAATTGATGGAATGCCCTCTTCATCTTTTAGCAAATCTGCATGAGCTTCGTAATATTTTTTTTGTTAACATTTCAGTTTTCCTGAATGTCACAGATGGCTAAGTTCACATTGATAACTAGACGTTTTTATCTCGTATCTCTGAAGTGTTGCATAAATACATTGTGATTACTCATAATGTTGGTCATTGTAACAAATCATATGTACTCCCTCTACTTATCAAAATATATTTTGAAGAATCCAAACACAATGTGAGGTCAACATTGACTTAGCATGAAGATAAGCCAACATGTATCTTATTACTGATGATTCAAAGTATGTTTCTGCTCTTTCAAAATTTTAATATACTAGAATGGTAGATAAATTTAGAATTTTAGATTATCTGTGGGTTGTAGAGTTCTCTTGTTTATCTAATTTAGGATGACATTAGCTGTTGTTTTACCAAAAGTATATGATATATATTCATTGTTTTATACTTCTTAGGACAATATGTGCATACATCATTTCAATTTCTTCTACATTTAGCATATAACTTTATGTTGGAATATATTCTGGCGAAAAAAGGACAAAGCACAATCCAAAAATCGAGCCAAAAAAAAAGAGAAAGAAATTTTGGCATCTGGCATAAATATTCATTGTTAAAAAAAAATAAATTTCCATCTTGTCTTAATCTTTAACAGATAGTTTTTAACATTCTTCCAATGGTCTTATTTTTGGTCGATTTATCAAAAAGTCTTGGAATGTTATTAGTTTTTTTTCTAGGAAAGAGCAACTGAGTGATGACGCCCTAATCATGTTGTGAAGGTTGATAAGATATGAATTATGTCCTGGGTCTGAATTAAAATGCTAGTGTTTTACTTACGTGATAAGCATAGATTGATTTTCACGATCTGAAAACAAAATAACAGAAAAACATCAGAATGCTATGAACATTTCATAACTCACATTAGGTGACAATTTTTATATAGTAGTGTACAATCTGATTTAATGCTTGTAGGTTTGAATAAATAGTTAAAAATGGTCAATAATATAGTAATTGTAGTATGCATTGGTATTTATTTATATTCTTAGTAATGATGTTACAAATAAACTTGATTCCTTTTCTTGATGGTAAGGTACAGAGAGATGAGGATGATCAACAGCTGATTTCATTTTAATTCTACTTCTTATGAGTCGTCTTGTAAGTGACCAGGATAAAAGTGTGCCTACCTTGTACCATGAATTGGTAGGCATTGTCTGCGATGGAGAACAAATGCGGGGGCATTTCCATCCTCCTTTTCCCCCTGTATTTGGCGATAATGCTCTCTGTGTAGATTGGAAGACGACGGTAGGGGTTGATGGCAACACAGAACAGTCCAGAGTAAGTCTAGACATAAATAAATTCAACGATTACAAGTCATAAAATAAATTCACTAGTACATAGAACAGTATATTAAAATGTTGAGTGGACTGGCAACAACATGCTGAACAAAGGATTAATTAAAACATAAAACTTTACTTATTCTAAATTAAACACGTTCATTTACTTTAGCTGCATACTTGTACTATAGCAGAAAGTTTTCAAGCTCAACAATATACCGAAAACCCTGAGACTTTTACAAAGCAGATTTATTAAGATAATGTATTTATAGTTGTTTCTATGCGAAATTCATGTATGTCTTTTTTTGTTGTTAAGAAGATACTATAGTAGGCATAATTCTATGGAATGATTACTTAATATTTCCGAGCTTTTCTGGTGACATTGAGCACTGAGTATTTGACATTGAGAAAAAATTGTGTTGTAAAAAAAAATGGGCAATTTGACAAAATTTGGATCGTTAGTGCCCAAGCCAAAGGAGTCTGTCAGAGGATCGGCAAAAAATGTAAGGAACCGATCTATTATCAAAAAAGAATATCTATTTTGAAGGGCACATTCCGCGCTATGTGCGAGTCTACATCATATCTGTATAACTGCCAAACAGCAAAGCACAGTATGGTTGTGTATATGCAAACTTGCAGATTCTACGTCAGGGAGTCGGGTTACGGGCTGGTGAGCTATTTTTAGCTATCTTTCCTATACCATATAAGTATTTGCTTTAGGTGAGCGAACACATCGTAAGTAAGCGGCGCTATCTGCTCTTCAACATTGCAAATGTTTTGAGTGGGAAGATGCAACTCGTGAAATATAAAAGTAATCTGATATCTTCGATGAAAAGATAAATTTGCTAGAATAAGTGCTTTGAACGTGAAAGCTTGTGGATTCCATGGCATTCTTCGGCTCTTCTTATGTTGCTCATGTGTGTATTTATGAAAGGGGGTCTGGCTTGCAATTTTTGTTTGTAAATGTTGATATTTTATCTTAAAACACTGTACTTTACAATGCATAGAGTAGTATTTATCTCTGTGGTTGATATGTTTGGATCAGCTTTGAAATGGATAATTTGTTTAGAAATTTAAGGTATTATCATTAACCCTGAAATCAAAACCATACGCACTTATAATCTGAAGCAGAGCCCACTTACAAGTCAATACAACAAAAAGTTTTCTTCTGAGAATTTAAAGCAACAATTAACCAGACTCAAACAACAAAATAAGCTTATTTTGTAAAATACATCGCTGCTTAAAATAATATGTTTAGTCCAGACAATGTGTTTTACTTTATCGTAGCTTATGACTATGTCAGTTCTCAAAAATCATATTTTGTCTGAATGGTCATTTGATTCAATGCATCTTAATTTATTTTTATGATTGGTTTGGAATTCAAGAAAAACATTCTGTATGATGCATTTTGATGGGAAAAGTGGAATGTTATAAATACTATATACTATATCCTCAAATCAACGAAAAGAAAAAGTAAATGGAGCTCTCCCCTACCCGTTTCCTGAAGCCATTTAAAAAAGACAAGGATATTAATTGTTCATAGAACTAAGCATACAGGGGTTGCTTTCCGTATTATTTAAGTTGTGGATTTTTTTTATTCAATCGTTCATGGTTTTATGAGAGAGGGAAATTGTATTGCATTAAACTAAACATTGTTATGCTTCAAACTAGTTCTGATTAAGAATAAAATGTTTTGCACTTGTATACACTATACTATGTTTTACACAATGAGTATTGTACTTTCTAAAACATGCAATGCTTACGTAGATCATCCCATTGTAATAACGAGATCTTAAGTTATGTAAAACAGAGGCTTCGTTCAGGTAGGTCATGTTGGCCATATCTTCAATCTTCTCAAACTTGGGTGGATTCATTTGTTGAATATCATCCTTCTTCACTGTTCGGTTCTGTAGAAAAAAATTAAAACCAATTGGTTGTTCATGTTGTTATACCTTTGATATTAGTACATTTGCTTTCTTGTTATTATTGATTTATCTTTAAAAAGATAAACATGTACTATCTTGTAAATATGCTCAAGTGTCTTTATTTGAATATTGTTCTGTTTTAAGTAATTAAGCAACTTTGAAAAATAGTTCTCTTATAAATGTAAATGCTGTGTAAACAATAAATGGAAAAGTGTGTGTCCTTGTTCATATCTCTGCGTTTCACATACCTCTTGCTTTTCAATGGTCTTGACTGTGATCTCATCTCCCTTTGAGGACTGGATTTCTGCACCTACAAACCCCTCCTTCTCATCAGGGACCCAGCACATCTTTTTGCCATCAAAAGGCTGATTCTGTTCCTGAAGCATCTTTTTTCTGTCGACGGCCAGATACTGGAAATCCGGGTCTGAGGGGTCGTAGGCTCCTCCGTGTCCAGACATGGCTGCTGTTTTTCTAACTTTTCACGAAATCAAGGAGAAATTGTCTAGATTTGATACACAACAACTCGGCCAACAGCGAGCAGACAGCCTGGAATTAAAAGAATATATTTTTGATTCAGAAGATAATTTATATGTGTGTGCAAATATTTTTTGATACGTTCTTTTTATAGCCCGTCACCTTTTAGTCTAGAATTGCTTTTAAAAAGGTTGAGAAGGTGGATCAAAATATATTTAAACATGTACTTGCTATGCATAATTTCATAAATATATACTTGAAAACTAGTTAAGATTCCAGAATCAAGAGTCTCTGCACAGAGGTAGGAGTGTTGCAAACTTTTATTTCATTTTATTTGTTTATTTATTTTATCTATTTACCATTTACTTGAATAAATTACATAAAGTGTATCAGAAAGTCAAATACAAATTTATAAAAACTGCATAAATTCACTCAAAAAGCATTGACAATATTTGTGAAATGGACATAGCAAAGGTGGTGTTTATTTAATGATGTGGGTAACACGGTTAAGAACACCTATTCCATCATTGATCCACTTAGTAACTCGTAAAAACATTTGTATAGTTCCACGTCAGGCACAGCAAATCTTTTGTGCTAACCAGCATGGAACACATTGGCACATAGGTATGGTGCAAGTTTTATCTGATTAATTTGTACATGTTAATCGGTTTCTCTACTAACAGATATATCTCAAGATCTATAACAACGATTCTTTGACTCTCATTGCATCCGATTATATCTATATGCCAAAATTATCCGTTATACTTTTCTTCCAATGATGTCTGCCATTTTTACAATTTGACCTTCTTCAAGGTGATAAAAACGAAATAAAAAAACGTTCTCTAGCAGCAAACAAAAACCTGTTCCAGGAATCAGGCTTTAAGAAATTATCTATAAATATACCGACTTGCTGGCAGTGATCACTACGTTTGGGACCTATGGTGTTTTGATCGAATTTGAGAAGAAGCAAATGCTTCAGACGTTAAAGTTTACTTGCATTGCATGGAGGAGAAATTATTTTTGCAGATGTTTCCTGGCTGTGCTAGATAACGGCAGACAGGCATTGTCAGTGAACTGGAATCCAAGGATTTCGTAACACAAATTTCTCACATCAACAAAAGTGTAATCTTATATTCCTAGTACATATGTAGCCTATCTCCTCATCAAAAATCTTAAGGACATTAAAATGCATAACAAGTTTGAATTCCTTCTTAAAGAAAAAAGTCTTTTGCAAATTATAATGACCTTGGCACAAGATTTCGCATTCTTAAAAAATGTATCCATGCCTGAAGTCCCCATATAAAGTATAATAGATACAAGGTCAGCTAATTACATCTAGCACTTCAAAAAAAATCTCAAAAGTCTATTTCCAGACAATTGATGATCGAGATACTCCAATATTGTCCTCTTGTCAAACACATCAACACATTCATGAATAATTAATTATTTTAAAAAATAAAACTCAAATAAAAGAAATCACACACATACTTACAGTAAGTGAAGAGGCTGTTCTGATAAAGATGCTCAGCTTCTGTACAGATTTATAATCATTGAAGCAGTCGACAATTTTTAGCTACATTGATGCTTATTGGATGAAACTTTTTGTAAAGTTTCTAAGCAACCAATCAAATTCTTTGTTGTAAAGGAGTCGGAAGCCCTAAAAAAGCTGCGGCAAAAGGAATCCAAGATGGGTAAGCGCCCCGTGGTGATAAAACGCGACAGATAGTGAGGGGCTGGAGAGCCTTGTTACTGCCTCCGGAACTTTAAGGATTCTGACAGCATTTGCTTTGTTTGTGTTTTAGATAACATCAAACACTCTCATACTTTTACTGTCATGATCACCCGTAAATGAATGACTTCTCTGGAAGAGCTAATATGTATAGAAGCTTTATCACGCTCCTTCACATAGTTCCAGTAATTTAGGGAACCATACACTCCTCAGAAATTATTTAATTTTATGATTTATCTATTAAGTAGTTGATTTATTCGTTTTAATAATATGTCGTGTTATGTAATATTTGCGAAAGTCTGTGTGTTTTTCCCTATTGCCTCAAAAGCATTTTGATTACTTGGAAAAACGTTAAGTTTTAAATAGCGATAAACGACTTTTCACTTTACAGCTCGCCCATGTTATATTAACTTCTTATCACTCGCTATTACGGATATTAATCCTTTGCACTCATCTTCAACTTCTGTTTTTCGTTGCCAAAGTGCCAACCCTATGATGGAAATGCTTTACGATAATTACACTGGATTTTCAACTTTAGTAGAAAAGAGTTTTTCATTGTTGTTTTTGCATGTTATTACGTGAAAAAGTAATGCGATAAAAATTGAAAGACACTCGTCGCATACCGCTGGTTAACTCGGTGTCTGATGAAGAGCAAATATATCGCGGTTGTTTATGCTCGCGGCCCATTAGACTCGCGTACAGCTCTTGATTCTTTGCATTTTTGCAATTGCCATATCTGCAAATGTTTCCCATTAAAAAACAATTAATAATAAGAGATTTAGAATATTTATTTAACATAATTACTCCTTCCTTAATTGACCTTTTCCACAAAACAGTAAGTTAATCGATATTTCAATATTTGTAATTGGATTTTAAAGTGTCACACTTATCAATGGTGTATTTTTTTTTCCCTGCTCAATGATATGGAGTTGGGAGTCACATTGTAAAAACTTTTTATCTCTTTACACAACCACTGCAAATTGGTAAATTTTCAAAAGTCTTGAAAATCAAAGTAAAATTAGTATATCACAACTTTAAGCAGTTCCTAAAAAAAGTTACAGAGAAGAATGGGGATATAATTCTATACCTGAATATTGAGAAAGAGGTTTCCAAGAATGATCACAATGCGCTTGACAGCCAACTGGCTATCTTGAAAGGACATATAATATATATTCCCATGTATTTTTTTGTACATCTAATGATTTTTAACAAGAAAAAAAAACATATATAAACATGTCCTCCAAATTGGAGACATAGAAAAATGCATTTTCAAAAAATTATACATGTATGTCACACTAGTTAGAGGTGTCTTATGACTATAGTACTCTGTACTATGCAAAGCAGAGGAAAAAAACTTAAGTTACAGAAAATAAACGTACATGTATGACTAAAAATTACATTTAAAAAAGCAAAATAATTAAAACAGCTCTTGATCATCCATTAGTAGAAGCAGATGACGTCATCAAACCTTTATTGCGCAATATCAGCATGGTTAATTTATAACCCTATCTTTATCTCTATCACTTTCTTTTCTATGGGTTATATTATTGAGTTATATTGGCAAGAGAAAAATTACATGAAATAATAGCTAATTAAGTATACTGAGTATATTTAGAATATCTAATGTACATACATGTATCTACATGAATATTATCTATAAAATTAAGCAACGTACATATTCCTAAAAACAAAACACCGTTAAAATTGTGATAGTTTGCAATAAAGAAATTTAAACGATGCTTGTTTTAAATCCAGCATTAATTTTGATTCAAATAGAACATGGAGGCCAAAAGAGAATGATGAAGTAGAACATTTTACCGAATTTCCTCAATTCTAACGGAATTTTTTTTTTTAAATTAAATACTTTTCAGTTCGGGAAACATAGAGTATAAGCTTGCCTATCTGAGATTTTTATGCACAAGATCTATCTCATAATTGTGCATGAAGTACACAATTTGGTAGCTAGGCAAGCTTGTGCTTTGTATTTTCTGAAACGAAATGTGCTTTAAAATTGATGAAAATTTGAATAAAATGAGAATAATTGGAAATTGACATATTTTGTGAACTTCCTGTGACCTCTTTGTATCCTATCACTGAGTCAATAGTCATTTTGTGACAGGAATGACACATGTTATTGATTATGAACTACTGCATCTTTCTAAGAGAAACCCCAAACCAGGAGCAAAAAGGGAGTCTTGTCTATTTTGTCCTTGAAGCAAATGTACATAACTTTGAAACCCTTTTTTGGTATAAATCAATTTCCCTGGTTAACCATTTACAGAAGGGAATCTTTTAAATTCTAGGAAAACAGCATACAAATGTTTGCTCAGATAGGAATAAATCCCAGAGGGTTCAAAAGGTATAACCCAATACTCTTTTGTTGTTTATAGCCCTCATATTTGAGATGTGATCTTCGTTCAGAATCGCAAAATGACATACACGTAGTCAACTTTGAATTTCATTCCAGTCAAAGCTTCCAAAGTTAAGGTTCAGATAGTTATTATGCCCCCGTAAGCGAAGATTCGGGGGCATATAGTTTTTCCCCTGTCCGTCCGTCTGTCTGTCTGTCTATCTGTCTGTCTGTCTGTCTGTTTGTCCGCAAAAACTTTAACCTTGCCCATAACGTTTGATTGGTTGGAGCTATGGCTTTCATATTTCACATGTGTATTCCTTGTGACAAGACCTTTCTTTGGGTACCATAAAATTTGACCTTTTGACCTTGACCTTGGAGTTTGACCCACTTTTGCAAATTTTTTCAGACATTAACCTTGGCCATAACTTTTGAATAGTTGGCGCTAGTGCTTTCAATCTTCACAAGTGTATACCTTGTGATAAGACCTTCCTTCGGATACCAACAACTTTGATCGTTTGACCTTGACCTTGGAGTTTGACCTTCTTCTGTAAAACTTTAAGCTTGGCCATAACTTTTGAACAGTTGGTGCTAGGGCTTTCATACTTCACATATGTAATCCTTGTGACAAGGCCTTCTTTTGGATACCAACAACTTTGACCCTTTGACCTTGACCTTGGAGTTTGACCAACTTTTGAAAAACTTTAACCTTGGCCATAACTTTGAACAGTTGGTCCTAGGGCTTTCATACTTCACATATGTAATCCTTGTGACAAGGCCATCCTTTGGATACCAACAATTTTGACCCTTTGACCTTGACCTTGGAGTTTGACCTACTTTTGGAAAACTTTAACCTTGGCCATAACTTTTGAACAGTTGGTGCTAGGGCTTTCATACTTTTCATATGTAATCCTTGTGACAAGGCCTTCATTTGGATACCAACAACTTTGACCCTTTGACCTTGACCTTGGAGTTTGACCAACTTTTGAAAAACTTTAACCTTGGCCATAACTTTTGAACAGTTGGTTCTAGGGCTTTGATATTTCAAATATGTTTTTCTTGTCAGAAGGCCTTTCCTTGGGCACCATTAATTTTGACCATTTGAACTTGATCTTGATGTTTGACCTACTTTTGGAAACCTTTTCCATATCTATTCAATGGTTGCTGCTAAGATTTTCATATTTCAGAGGTATATTCCTCTAGACAAGACCTTACTTTGGGTACCAACATATTTGATTTGCATTTGAGAAAGTTTGACCTTTGTTATGAGTTGTCATACGGGGGCATAAGTGTTTCACAAACACATCTTGTTATATAGGTATTGCCCATTGATTATGTTATATTGGATATCTCTAATGGAAAACACTGTGCTTTAGCTTGAAAGCATTGTTTACTATGTTGTTCGTTTTATAAACCCTCGCATGTTTGGGTATTAATTTCATCTTAAGCATGTTGTTGTCCAATGATCCTAAGCTGTCTCACTATCCTAAGTCGAAATCAAGCCTCAAAGGTCAAAGCGTGAACAGAGTGAAACCCTATAGTCAAAGCAGTAGTTTTGTAACTGTTCGTTCAGATATATGTACAGGTACATGTATATTCACTTTATTCTGTCAACTATTACTTGTGACATATTGAAGTTCATTTATTATAGAGAAATAATAAAAGAGTTCATTCACTTCGCACTGTAATGGCTTATTTTATATAATTGTTTGTCTCATTACTCAGCATTAAAAGTCGGCAAAATCTTTATTGCTGCGCCCTTTTGAAAGCATTTAGCTATATAAAACAACCACAGTTTTGATTTAATGCATAAGTTATAAAATATTTTTTCCACCTAAAGGAAATTATCCGTCTAGCTAGTTGGAGTGTCTTCAGGTGAACAAAAACTGCCTGATTTAAGCAGCAAACTTATTCAAGCAGTTTCAAAGCTGCGGTCGGACTAAAGATCTTGTTATATCTACAGAAAGTATTCCTGTGCTGTAAAGTTCAGTTTTGCTTTTCATTTTCAGTATTTTCCGCTTTGATTGAGGAGCTGGCACTTGTGTGGAGGGTTCAGGGAAGAAGCTTCAAGAAGTTAATTAGCTGCTGAAGTAAATCTCCTAGAAAACAACCCACGCAGAGATATTCGGTTTAACTTGAACTGGTTATTTTTTTCTTACATGAATGAAGTACTTGAAGTTGTAATAGAATAATGGCACCTTACTTGCCGTGAATGTGTGTGTAATTCAGATCATGTATAACCCACTGGAGATCATGAATATGCGCTTTACGTTACCAAATTCTTTTTTATATTTGTCAATCTTAAATGGGTTACTGCGTATCTGCAATGGGTTTTTTTTCTTTCTAGATATAATATTTGATATGCATTGAGGTATAAAAAAGTCTGTACAATTTAGTCTATGGCGTGTAAAACTTTGCATTGTTATACTTTATTTTTTTGTTATTCCTGTTCAAAAATTTTGTTATTCTAAAACATATCATTCCCATTCGATAAGTTGTTATTCTTATGCGAAAAAATGTGATCTCTTTTTGATTAATTTATCATTCCTATTTGATAAGTTGTT